AATCGTTAATTAATAATACGAATTAGCAATGATAATTTCGGAGTGCGTAGGGAAGCGAACAATGGCGATGTGGTAATTGACTTTTTGCGCGCGTATGCCGTCCGCTGGTGTTATTAGCTTCTTCCTGAGATGGGGAAAAGGGGGAAGGGGAAATGCATTGTGTGTGCATGAGCGAAAATACAATACAAAAAGTACAATAGACTCCTAGTTACTTCCGTAATAATAAAATCCAGATCAATGGCGTGCGGTTCTTCTGACTTTCCGCAAGTTCTACGTTTGATGCCAAAGTCGTTTGAACGAGTCCTTTCTCGTCAAAGTACAATTATTGTTAAACTACGGTTTATATATTTTTCTAGATTTTACTTCAGAATTACACAAGAATGAACTATATTTCTGGTAAAGAGCCTGAAACATTCTCAGTCGAGTTAAATTAATACAAAATACTATATTTTACTGCAATCGTTTTTTGCTGTTCCTTTAAATTAAATCAAGAAGTTGAATATGATATATACAAATAATAACATTGAAACTATATAATAGCAATAATATGTTGAGAGCCAGCAAATTTTCAAAAAGAAATACGCCTTCCGATTGATTAACCACGCGGAGACAATCGCGGAAATATGAATCACACACGATTAAACTCGAATTTCAACGTTTCTCGATCTTGGTTCGGCTAGATCGCCGACCGCGGATTTCCGAATTTCCGATCGCGGGAACGCGGGATCCGGCATACATTCCGCGTCGCTTCCGCGTGACTTCCATACGCGAATAATCGGGTCCGAGTGGCACGATGCAGGAATGCGGCGAACCATCGCGAGAGAACGGACTTCACATGAAAATGAGATTACCGCTTTTCCCATTCGCGCGCCGAGTAATAAGGCCGCCGAGCCGCTAGTCGCTCCACTATCGGCCGCGTTTTCTCTCAATGCGCTTTCGCGCATTCAGATCACCGGCCGGAGCGATCGCCGTCGTCGCCGATCAATCGATCGATCCTTATTTATATATAGCTAAACACCGGCCAATCTACGTACGTACGGCGTTTACGCGAACGGAAAGCGGCGCGGGCATCGCCCGATCCACACCGAGCACCACCACACGGCAATTTCCCATCCTTATCTTCGTCCCGCGAAGATGACGTTTCGTGTGCGATAGTAAACTGCCGCGAGATTTTGTCAATTCGTGATATTTTCCCACGACGAAATAATCAACGGGTGCGTTTCATCCGGTATTTGCCGCGTATCGCACCCGGGGCCCCTCCTACGCTATCGATAATGTAATCGAATAAACTCTGGGCGATCTGCCCACATGCGCGCGTTGTCGATGATACCAGATAATTCCTTCGGATCGAATACGTGACGCGATGAATGAGTCTACTTTTAGACGCCTAATTCAACCATTGCCGGCATTACGGTTTAATTGGAGAAACAGCGAAGCTCGAAGCTAATCTTAGAAATGACGGCGAATAACAGATCGCCGCACGTGACTGTGATCGAACGATCGGAATTATTCTTCTTGTCAACCTCATTGCGAGTCGAACAAATGGGATATCGAATGCGACAGATGTAAAGATTCAAAATCAACGGGGAAATGGCGGGTAGCACGCAAGTATGCATTTACTCATTAACTTAAAGTGAAAGCTCTCTTTATGATTCTTTAAAAGGGACGAAGAGAGAATGTAGGAGAATCTTAAGATTGCTTTGTGATAACGGGAAATTCAATTACGACGAGATGTTTAATATAAAAAAATTAAAGTTATGAAAAGAGAGAGAGAGAGAGAGAGAGAGAGAGAGAGAGAGAGAGAGAGAGAGAGAGAGAGAG